CGAATGCTACATTAGGTTGACCGCACCTTAGACCTGGCGACCACTTCCAACACGTACAATAGCAACCGCGAACGATCTTCTTCACAAAGGCTCTAAATCGGAAAAAAACCTAATTCAGACTTGGAGGCGTTGAAGTGGACTTATATTCGTATTTATAGAGATGTAGGACGTGAATGGGTCGACCCAATTCGTTTCCTTGTCCAATTGTGGAACCTTTCTGGTGTTGGAATCCATATCCAATACGGATACGGTGTGAAGGCGGTCGACCTCTTCATAATTCGGTCGACCTGTTAGGTGCACAAGGGTCGGCCTATGAGATATTTGGGTCGACCTTTCATTCTGTTAGACCACCAAAGCGGTCGACCATATTATGTAAGAGGTTGACCGCGTCTCGGAACCTCACATACATAAATTAGTCCATTCGGTCGACCGCATGTTGGATTAGGTCGACCGAAAAGTCCATGTCACCGTAGCAAAATCCTAACATTTAAATTGTTATGTATTTCCTTTTCTTTCTAAATTTTTTCTCATCAATTCTTCCCCCTTCTTCTCAAGGGTATCAACCTGATTCAGCTCGTTGGGGAGCAGATCCGGTGAGTAACTTTGTGGTGAGTAACCCGTCCACATTAGCATGACATCAGCATCCTCTCTCTCCTGGAAAGTCTTTAATTTTCCCCTCTTTAATCTTTGACGGACGATTTCTCACTCATTTTAAGTTGAAATTTAATTTTTTTTTTGTACAGTTAGATAAGATTAATTGTGCTCTTCAAAATGATATCCACTTTAATATATTTTTCGAACAAAAAAAATTGAGTCATTTTTTACCAGTCTATACCATATGGTATTGACTAGTATTGAAATAAAAGCATACCTATGGTTTGAAAAAAGTACCATGGTGGTATGAACAAACCAAGACTGTAGGATGGTTGAATACATGATAGTAGAAATATATTAATTGTCATTTACGACTTTTAACATTGTATACCACAAGATACCACCCCGTACCAGGGTGGTATTGTATGGTATTGTGTGGTATTTTTTGGTCCTGTAATTTGTTCACCCAAAAATTTGTAGATCCAATATATCATGATGAACTCGTCCCTTCTGTGCAAACGTTTTCAAAAACGAATTAAAAATGAAGAAAATACCATATGGTATGCAGTTGGTACCGAGAGGCCAGAATTTTTTGTTCTAAAAAAATATTGAAAATTGATCTCATTTTGTAGAGCATGATGAACTCGTTCCACCTGTGCAAAAAAAAAAATCCGAGTCAAAACGAAAAAGATATGAGCCGATTAAGAAAGTTAGAGAAAATAAAACTGATCTTTAATTCTTCATCCTTAGATCTGGATTTTCTTAATGAAGGGTCCAGATTTGGTTATTGATGGGTGCATAACCCATGGTTATGCACCCTATCTTGAGCCGCTCGTTGGCTAGGTCAAGTAATTGGGTTGAGGGTTAATGGTAGATCATTTTACCCGGATATATGAAAAAATTTATTATATTGTTCATACATTTATAAAGTATATCAAATCTCATCGAAATTCTTCTCCCTTCTTCCCAAGGTTGTCAACCCGATGTTGCCAATTGGTCATGTCAAGCAAGTGGGCTGAGAGTTAATGGTCGACCATTTTAACCCGGATATTTGAAAAAATTCATTATAATATTCATAAATTTATAAATTATATCAAAACTCATCTAACATGAGTAACATCAATATCAATATTTAGATGTTCAAGTTAAAATTCCAAAGATAGGATTAGGCAAAGAGAAAAAGTGGAAAAGAAACGCATTTCGTAAAAGAAAGTAAAAAACAACGTTGTGTGACCTTCAACTCGGTAACCTTGCAGCGTGTCGACCCAGCGGGTGTGTGTGACCTATTTTTCTCAGTGGATCAAGATCAAAACAGGTCGCGGGTCAACCAACAGGTCGACCGCTGGTTGACAACCTTTTCCATCTCAAGTATTTCTCTCTCTCTCTCTCTCTCTCTCTCTCTCTCTCTCTCCTTTTTCTTTTCTTTCCTCATAAAAGTCTATCTCTCTCTCTCCTCGTTCTCTATATATTCCCATGCACCCAATTCTTCCTCCAAAACCCATGTCTAGGGATGACAAAGGGTTGGGTCAGGGGCAGATAGTACATATCTGTTACCCTACCCAAGTAGTTCGACTTTTACCTATACTCATACCCACAGTGGATCAAGGCCAAAACAGGTCACGAGTCTACTAACGGGTTGACCCGCTGGTTGACAACGTTTCCCATCTCATGTATTTCTCTCTCTCTCTCTCTCTCTCTCCTTTTTCTTTTCTTTCCCTATAAAACTCTTTTCCTCCCATTCTCTATCTCATCCCATCCACCCAACTCTTCCTCCAAAACCCATACCTAGGGATTGGCAACGGGTCGGGTCAAGGGCGGATAATGCATATCTGTTACCCTACCCAAAGTAGACGGATTTTACTCATACTCATACGCACATAAAAATCGTGTAAAAAATCAAAATCATCCCCATCTAACATGTAAGTAACATTTATAAATTATACCAAATCTCATCTAACATGTGAGTAACATCAATATCAATATTCAGATGTTCAACTTAAAATTCCAAAGATAGGATTAGACAAAGAGAAAAACTGGAAAAGAGACGCATTTCGTAAAAGAAAGTAAAAAACAACGTCGTGTGACCTCCAACCTGGTAATCTTGTAGCGGGTCGACCCAGCGGGTTTGTGTTGCCTGTTTTTCTCAATGGATTAAGGTCAAAACGGGTCACGGGTCAACCAACAGGTCGACCCGCTGGTTGACAACCTTTCCCATGTCTCTCTCTCTCTCCTCATAAAACTCTTTCCCTCCCCATTCTCTATCTATTCCCATCCACCCAACTCTTCCTCCAAAACCCATGTTAAGGGATGACCAAGGATCGGGTAAGGGGCGGATAGTGAATATCTATTACCCTACTATAGTAGTTCGGGTTTTACCTATACTCATACCCACAGTGGATCAAGGTCAAAAAAGGTCACGAAAAACTAACGGATCGACCCGCTGGTTGACAACCTTTCCCATCCCATGTATTTCTTTCTCTCTTTTTCTTTTCTTTCCCCATAAAATTCTTTCCCTCCCCATTCTCTATCTCTTCCCATCCACCCAACTCTTCCTCCAAAACCCATGTTTAAGGATGGCAGCGGATCGGGTCAGGGGCTGATAGTGCATATCCGTTACCTACCCAAAGTAGACGGGTTTAACCCATGCTCATACCCACATAAAAATCGGGTAAAAAATCTGATTCGGGCCCAAATGTACAAATTTTGCCCCTCATTTCTTGATTTGCATTTCATCGTTCCTCGACACATTTCACGCTAGGTTGTGCTTGTTTTGATACATTTCAGGTCTTAGCATGTGTGGAAGGGCCAATGTCGAATTTTGGGATAATTGGAGGTCAAAAAGCACAAAAACCGAAGCAAAGTTCGTAGTCTGTGACAATTTCCCCGTAACAGTGAAGTGCAAGCGTCCTGGAAGCAGACGCCGTGCACGGTCAAACAAGGGAGTTCACGGTCTCCTAAGACCGTGAACTAGAGCCACAAACAGTGAACATCGAGCAATCCAACGAGGTTTCAGTGGTTACTAACGCCAGGCGAGTTCACGGTCGCTAAGACCGTGAACTGGGGCCATTAACCGTGAACCTAGGAGAGTGAAGCGGTGCGTTTTAGGGACGAACTGAGTTCACGGACGCGTTTAGGTGTTCGCGGCCGTGAACTGGCCAAAGTGACCGTGAACTGATCAATTTCGGGCAAATATGAAAACAACAGCGGGGAGAGAGAAAGAGAGCTTAATTTTTAGGTTAGATTTTCATTTTCAGAATAAAGAGGATTCTAGTGAGAGGTTAGGGTTTCTTCTAGAGTGAGAAAGTGCAAATCAAAGGAGGAAGAAGGAGCTTTGGGCCTGTTCCTAGCTAGGAGATTGAAGATTTCTTCATCTCAAGGGTATCTCAAGCAACAAGGATGAAAGATTGACACCACTTCATGGTTATTTCTTCCCTTTTTGTTGTTTTCTCTTGTTTAGCTATGGAATAGCCTACCTACTCACTTGGGTATTGTGAACCCTAGTCTCCCTATGTGTTAGGTTGCAAGAACATGAACCTATTGTGTTGATTGAGTGTTTTATATGTTATTTGAGACATTATTCACGAATGATTGAGTGTGCTAGCTTTAACTCAATATTCGGTGAAATTAACCTAGAGGGTGGAAATCCCCTCTTGGTCCAAATAGGAGCTAGACTCCTTAGCCGCTTGGGTAACCTCCTTTAGGTCAATTTAAGATCAAAATCTCAAATATCGGAGTAGGGCCGTGATTCCACCGGGATAGGTCTCTCCGCCGACCGGATTAAGTTCCGAGGGTTTGGTTTGCAATCCTTAGTCGACTAGTTGAGAGGGTTAGGTTCCCTAGCTATCGTTGTCACCCTTACCCGAAAGGTTAAGTGAGTTAGCTTCCTAACTTGTTGCAATGAATCTCAATTAGCTAACTAAGAGAGAGTTAGGGATCTCCTTGGTTGATCGATAAAGAGGGCTGGAATCTCTAGCTATGAATCACAATTCTTGACCTAACGGTTAAGAGAGCTAGTTCCCCTAGCTTAAATTTGTTGATTTTCCTTCATTGATCGACGGAGTTTGTCCCTAGCCAGTTGCGCCGACTAGCGATGTATGAACACGTCTTTCTCACTAGATGTTACACGCGAAACCCTTGTGGAAATTTGTGGAAAATTTCTTCATAATATCGGTGAGGACCAAAAATACGAACTCTCAGTTACGGACGTTAGTTGAGTTTCGGATTAAACGCGCCCGCATTTTATCAAATACATAAAATAACCCCTAGGTTAATTAAAACTCAACCCAACCCTAATCCCATTCCTCACGCGGTTTCATCAGCACCAAAGTGGGCTGATTTCTCTCCTACCTTGAGGTAGTCTATCTACTACGAGACGTGCTTGCTTAAGCACACACGTAGGAGGGGAGATGAAGGTGGCAGCGGAGGAGATGTCAGCAGGTGCGCGACTTGGCCTGCAAAACGAGCAGGGGACAGTATGGGTGGCACTGTCTACTAACAAAGCTGCTTGTTTAAGAGAGCTGACTGCTGAAGCACGCAGGAGAAGCAGTTGGAAGGGAGAAGAGGTGCATGCACTGGGGCTGTCGACTGCGATACCTACTTGCTTAATAGAGCAGGAGGTGGGAGAAGGCAGTTGGATGGGAAGCTGACGAGATGTGTGGATGCCAATTCCGGCAAGCACTTCGCTTTCTACCGTGAGACCTGGCTGCTTAAGAAAGGAGGATGAAAATCGAATGGGAGTTAGAGTAGGGGAGGCGAGAAGTTTGCAAGTCCAGGGCAAAATCCAAAACGTGGCCCCTCTCCATAAATTTCATCGAGAAGCGGAAATTGAAGGCGTATGATTTTGGGTAAGTTATTGAGACTACTCGCATTTAGTTATATCCATAAAAGGGATATAAAGTGAAATGGTTAAGTAAATATGTACGTATATGGGAGGTGCTTTAACATGGCTTGGGCGATTTGTTGTGGTTGATTTTTGGCGACCGAGACGAATGGAGTTGATCGGGGAGCATCGTCGATTAAATGCTAAGCTGTTCCATGACATCTTTCGGAGTACCTAGTTCATGAAGCCGATGGATTATAGCTATATAGTCAGGTGAGTGTAAAGGGGGTAAATTCTACGCCTTACGTGTTCTTCAAGTATTTTCCTTAAGTATTGATTTACATGATGTATGTGCAGTATTTGATTCATGTTTGAGATTGCATGATTATGGTTGATGATATGTGCTTTGTTTGAATTATGACTTGAAGTGAATGGTTATTATTTACTTTGAAATTTTCATGAGTATAAGTTATTGTTAAAGTTTAAGAAACAAGTTCTTTTAAAGAAATAATTCACCTTCAAGAAGGTGAAGTCATTTTAAGTGTGTTTAGTAGAAAGCGCCAGACCGTTGCCATTTGAGATTTTCATATAGAGCAGCAGTTATGCTCTTGATATCTTTGAGGCAGAGCAGCAGTTATGCTCTTGAGATATTTAAGTTGAGAAACAGTTTTGTTCTTGAGATTTTTAAGATGAGCAGCAATTATGCTCTTGAGAATCGTGGAAGAAGAGCCTTCCACGATAAGTTTAAGTTTAAGGAAAGGCTGGATGGCTTCTCATACGTATGAGTTGGCAACCGGACTAGCTAGTGAGGGATCCCCGTGTCAGTCAAGTATTTAAGTCGAGATTTGAGTTTTAAGAATGGAGAGTAACAGTAACTCCCATATAGTTTTAAGAGTGGAAGTACAAACAACTGCCACCAATTTAAGTAAGTGTTTTAAGTAAAGTGCTAATCATTAGAAGTTTAAACGTAAGGGCGTAGAGTGACCCCAACTCACTCACCAATTTGAAGAGGAAGGAGCTAGAGGAGCAGTTAGAGAGCAGCGAGATCGAGAGAAACAGTTCGAGGGAAGCTAGCTAGAGGAGGACGGTACGAGCGTTACAGAGGATGTCTAGTCAGAGTTTCATACAAGCAGCAACACTTGAGACTAGTTAGTTATTATGTTTTATGATTATGAGTACAGACTGGAGGTCAAGTTGAGTTTTTAAAGTTTGAGTTAAGTTGTCCATGTGTTAGGGCGTTGCTTTGAATTACAAGGATATTCTTGTAAAATTAGTACCCGGTCGGGTTAGGGTGTTACACTAGAGCTTTGTTTGTCGCTTCTTAGCACGAGACTAGGGGGAGCAATACCCAGGTGAAGTCCCCTCAAGTAGAATTCTCCTCGATTTACTTTCCATGTTCGTTCACTTTGTAGTTTTCTTAGTTTTAAACCCAAAACCGTTTTGCTAGATAACAACTTAAGAGATTGAGGTAGGGGTACATGGACCGGCCCGGGTGGACAATTTAAATACTTGCCCTATACTGCACCAGCTAGAGTTTAAAAACTAGGGCTCTAGTCGAGATTAATTCGTCGTGTAGTTTCGTGCGAGTCAAAATCAAAATCATGCCCATACTTATTTGAGTTTCAGATATCTACGGTTATCCATGGATAATATTTTCTCTTTATAACTTCAACCAACATGTTAACATTTACACATATAGTCACATTACATTAGTGGAAAAGTACAATCGTAATTCACTAGAATAAACAAAATTAATTTCAAAAAACACAATTTCATGAAAATATAATATTTGTATGTTCAATATAAACTTTGTTGAGAAAAATAATGGTCATTTCTAAATAAGCATATATATAATCAGGCGGGTTGGGTTTGATAGTGAGAAAACCATGACCACCCATTACCCGCAATATTTGGGTTAGGGTTCAGAAATAAAAGCAATAGAGCTCACCTAAGGTTCCTGAAGTCTTCTCTGCAATTTTTCACACAATGTCATAAATTACCTCTAGATATATGAGATCATTCACCTCTTGCCCAACTACATTGGCCTTCTCATCGTCGAGAGCACTAGCATGTGAGATCCATTTGCCTTCACCATTTTGAATCACCAAATCTGTTTTACCATTTTTCTCGCGACACTATTTCATTTACAATTTCGACTTAATTGTAACCAGGAAAGTATCAACACATGGCGAAAGCTTATTGAATGGCCGATTTTTGGCCCTTACACGAAGATGCACATTTCTTTATTTGATTATGAAGTGTTAAGTGTTGAACTTGATCCGCTAAGAAAAACGGCCCACACACACTAGCAGGTCGACCCGCTGCAAGGTTGTATTTTACTTTGTTTTACGAAACACGCTTCTTTTCCAGTTTTTCTATCGTCGAAGGCACTATCATGTGAGGTTTACTTGCTTTCATCATTTTGAATCATCAAATATGTTTTACCATTTGTCTCGCGACACTATTTTCATTTTGAGTATTGACTAAATTATAACAAGAAAAGCATAAAACATGGCGAAAGCTTATTGAATGGCCGGTTTTTGGCCATAACACGAAGATGCACGTTTCCTTGTTTTATGAAATGTTACTAGTATTACTTAAAAGGAGGTTTTTGAGCACCAGGAGATAGGGATGGCAATTTTGCCCATACCCATGGGTTTTTTACTATCCAACCCAATTGGGTTGGGTATGAAATCCAAATAGATGGATATGGGTAGAGTTTGATGGGTTTGTACCCATACCCATTTACTTTGGGTTGGGTTGGGTTTATAACAAATGGATTTGGGTTTGTACCCATGCCCAAATACAAATTACAATTTGGTACCTAAACTTAATAGATATGCATATTTAGTACCTAAATTTAATTTTTTTGTATATAAATCCTCAAAATATCGATGGAAAATTACATTTTGGTACCTAAATTTTTTTTGTCTTACATTTTGGTACCTATAATTTTTCAAGTTTTACAAATAGGTCCAATTTTTGCATGTGTAGTTAAAATACCCTCAAGTAAATGGATATCCATATCCAACCCATACCCATTTAGATTATGGAAGCAATATTCATACCTTAGCCAAACCCATCTACAAACCCCCCCAAACCCATATGCACTTCACCCAGACCCAACCCATTATCAATGGGTCTACTTGGGTTTGGGTATAATTACCCATGGGTGGGTAATTGCCATCCGTACCAGGAGATACACGCGTCCAAACTACCGCAATTGACCATACTACTCTGTTTTTGTCCCAACTAATGCTCTTGTTCAAAACTTTGTCATTGCCATCTTTCCTTGTTTCCTTTACATCCAAGCTTTGTACTTGTTTCCTCTTCAAGCTAAAGAACAGAGAAAGAGTAATGAACTACTAATGTCGTGTTGTAGCCTTTATTGAGTATTTAAGGCATAAGATCAATGAGAATCACCAAGCCTCTAGGGTTTCACTTCATTCCAAACAAATTGTTATGGTATCAGAGCCTCGGATCTAGCTCTTGAGTCGCTGCCATGGACAACCAAACCACCACCAACCAACCTGCAAACAACACCACAAATGAAGTGAACACATCAACCTCAACCACAACAACCTCAACCGGCAAATCAGAACGCTTACCAGATGGAGGATCTCTTCTACCTTTATGGTTCTAAGCAGCCTGGCATTCTTCTCGTTGCAGAGAAGCTCACCACCACCAACTATAATGACTGGAGCCACGCAATGAGTAATGCATGAGAAGCCAAAAACAAACTAGGCTTTTCTAATGGCACTCTACTCATGCCAGCCAAATCAGATCCTCTATATGCTGCTTGGACGCGAAACAACGTTATGATCCCCAGCTGGATCCAGCAAGCTGTATATCGAGAAATCCGCAAGACGATTCTTTCAATCAAGACTGCATTAGAGGCCTGGCATAGTCTACAGATCAGATATGGTGCAGGAGACATCATCAGAGTTACTGAACTCGAAGAGGAGCTTTTAAATCTTAAGCAAGGTAACCAAACCATAACGGAATATTATGGTAGAGTTATTACACTAAAGGATGAGTTTGATAACTATCAACCTTTGCTCCCTTGTGATTGTACTCCTACAATCCATTTGACCTGCATTGCTATGAAAAGGTGCATGAGTACCATGATACAAATTATGTCATCAAGTTTTTAAGGGGGTTAAATGAAAATTTCTCTACTTTGCGTTCTCAAGTGCTATTGGGTGAGGAATTACCTACCATCAATTGAGTTTTTCAGTGAATGTTGTAGCATGAACGACAATATATGGTACTCAAAAGGGTAAAATAGTGGCTTCTGCCACAGTTGAGAATCTTGCCCTTGCTGCGCAAGCTGCAAACAGAAGGCCCAACCCTAATGGCAAACGACCATTCTGCACTTACTGCAAAAAGGAGGGTCATATTGAGGAGGTCTGTTATAAAAACATGGCTACCCTCCTGGCATGGCAGCCAGAGGATCTAACACACAAGGTAGACCTTTTGAATGCACATTCTGTCGAAGGTAGGGTCACTATGCAGAAAGGTGTTTCTTTAAACATGGATTTCCACAAAATGTCAATCAAAGGTATGGCCCCAATCCTTCAAGCAGAGGCAAACATTTTGCAAATTCGGTCACTACTGACTCAGATCAGGAGGTCAAGCTCACCAAGGCGGATTTTGACAAACTGATGAGTCTGATGAACTAGACCAAGGGCCCTTCTTCTTCCTTCACTGCAACAGCATTCATCAAAAGTCCTGACTGTTCAGTTAATTACATCTTAATTGCCCCTCTTGTGTTTAGAAACCACAATCCATCTCTAGTCTGGATTGTTGACACAGGAGATTCAGATC